TCCAATGCAGCATTCTGCAGGAGTTCTTCAGTTGTGACCAGTTTCAGCCTGGTGGTTTCTGTGTTTTGAATGCTCTTGCATTACATGGCTGTACTGGAGTAAGGAAAGGCAGGGACTGGACACATGTAGGGCTACAGTTATTTCTGGTTCCCTCATGCAATACTTGGGTAAATTTGGTTTATATAGAAGACCTGAAAGGTTTGGGAGTAAAGAAATCCTATATTCAGGCTGCTAATTGGAAAGAAGTGCATAAACAGTTTGCAATTGCTGTATGAGTTGATGGAATGCAGTACTAAACACAAAGTATGAATATACTAGAAGAGAATTCAAACTGTAGATTTAAACAACAGTAAATCTGAATACTGTTTATACACTAAAACATCATATATGATAATACAGAGGGACATATCTAGTGTCAGCATCACAGGCTGAAGTGTTCCACAAAGGGGGAAGTAGCTGTTCTATATGTCTACTCTTCATGCCAACATCCATAATTTTCCGTGGCCCATCTTTTGTAACAGGACTGTGCTCACCCACCTGACCCGAAAGGCGAGCTGGTTTTTCAAGCATTGCTCCCCGAATCTGACTTCAAAAGGCATTAAAGGAGCTCATTCAGGGAAAGACAGGTGGGGAAGTGCATGTATTCATCACTTACCTGAGTTTTGCCAAAGCTTTTCTGCAGTTCAAAAAAATGACAAAGATTCTGCATATTATTCTAAATAAAATAGATTTTCTGCCTCCTATCTTAATGCCAGTCTAGAAGTTTACCTGGGAAACACGTGCTGGAAATTTTGATGAAAAGGGTGATGCCAAGAAAGCACAATGGTAATGAAAATATTGAGCCTTAGTAATAAAACACTTCAAACCCAGATGCTTATGATACAAGAATTTGAAATGTATTTGTTAGCTTTTATCTACCCAGAAGCAGTTTGCCTACACTTCATACAAACTCCTGTATACACCTTTCTTTTGCAGTGCTGGGTAGTTTATCTGGGGTGTGTGTGTATAAACTGGATGGATTTTAGCCTATGGTGTAAGGGTGGAGGTAAACCCATTTACACGGGACAAAGAAAATATGATTGTCAGCTAATTCATAGGCTGTACATACAGAAATGTTTCATGCACCTCTTCACTGCCACTGCACTGTAACTTCATCCCTTTAGAGCACCTCTTTATCAAAAGCTCTCAAACCCACAATTCTTCAGCTTTTCCTTATGCTAAAATTGTTCAGCTCTTTCTCAGACTTAAATCAGTTGGCAAGTAAAAAACTTAAAACATCCATCTGGATTAGTGTTCCCAACATGATGCAAACTGAGAACGTTTGTTCACTCTGCTGTAGTGACAGAGCCGGGACGGGACAGAGCCCTGGGGTCCTCGTTTTATATCAAGCTGTCTTTTAAAAAGTCTACATGACTGACTAAAACCACAGTGACATACTTCATAAAGCAGTGTGATTATGCCATCACAAAGGAAGGATGGTTGCATCCTGCAGAAACACCTTTAGCCCCTCGAATAGAGACAGCTGGAGGGAAATGCTGCAAAGGGCTCAATCCAGTGGGCTGATTCCCTATCAACTGTCAGATACATGGGAGGCATCTCAGGAGGAAAAACGGGGTTTTGTAAAAGCATAAAAAAGGGAGGCATCACTATGATACTATGCTGAGAACCCTGTGATCACCCTCAGAGGCTGTCAGGTTCTCAAGGCTGGGCTTCCTGCACAAAACATGCCAGTATCGTGTCCTTACCGGACATCATACCACAGCTTATCTCACACATCTGATATTTCTGGAGCAGCCCATTCTGGGAGAGTTTCTGGCATAAAGCTGACTTCTGTAGAAGCATGACTTGTTGCCAGGGGGAGGGCTGGATCCCCTTCCTACCTACATGCCCCCTTACATATGGAGCACAGCACTGCCAACACGCTCCTGAAGACTCTGAGGAGGGCTCGCTGTGCCACAGGGCTGTAGAGCAACCTAATTCCATGCAACACTACAAGATGTCCTACTGTGCACATGCAATCCCTCCCCAAATGTCAATGTTAAGAAGTAAAGAGTTAAAGAGTCATCACAGTGAAAAGAGAGAGAATCTTGCATGTAGCAGTTCCAGTACTTGCCAGACATGCAGAAAAACTTAACCCTGTGTGCTTGGACACTCACCTGTGTGCCTGGTTCACATCCTACTCACCAGTTCTTATTAAGCACATCTACAACACTTTATTTTTCACAGGTATTAAAAGGTATTAAAAAAAATGGGGAAAAGATATTTCTAATGACTGTTTTTTTAAAGCAGCATCAGCTGACTTCCAACACTGAAGTCACAATAGCTACTGCTCATCTTACATAGAAAAAAGGCATCGTGTATTTTCATCACTAAACATATTTTATCTCCCCAATCCAACCGACATTACCTCTGTGCTCTATCAGGTGTACAGATTGGAAGGACTTAATAGACAGTTTTCTGGTTCCTTCAGTAAACCTACCAGAGCAATATATCACAAATTTCAATAATTCTGCCAAATAATCGAATAAATGAAAATCACTCAGGTAGTATTTGTTTTATCTGTGTTCTTGGAAGGAGCTTTCACAGCAACCACAAGGGTAATGCAGTTTTTCAAAGATTAATGAATAATATTTTTTTTACCAGTACATATCTTTATATACACATCTTTAACAAATCTCATTTAGGGACTCCTGGAATTTTAACATGTTCTATCCTAACAAAACTGTCTATTTACCAACTTTAGAATTCCAGACATAGAATTTAATTGTCAAAATATATTTTAAATTTTTTTCATTTAGTTTAAGTGTTCACAAGCACTCCTATTTTTCATAAAGGATTAACTCCCAAATGATTAAGACTTACAGACAGCTGTAATAAAGAGTTCAAGAATTCTATGTCCTGGTTGTGTACTTAAAATTCTCAGCTAACTAGCAGGAGAGAGGCTGCTAGGAATGCTTACAGATGTCTGATTTTACAAGGTCTGAATTTGTTGTTTTCTTTTTTTTTTCTTGCCAAAGTGCTTTAGTCTAATGTTATTTGTTGTTTATGGAAGCTATTTATCATTTAGGACATGAAGTGACCACTCCCTCAAAAGAAAGAATCAAGTTACAATCCATTATTTCATTTTTGATTGTTTTTCTTTGTAATAGGTGGGAAAGTGGATCCTGGATAAAAGTCCTGCCCAAGTCAAGACTCAAAGCTGAAGACTCCAATTATCTATAAATCACTTGAATTTCCTGCAGAGAAAGAGAAAAAGGAGGAAAGAGCGAGACAGACAGAAAAACAGAGACAGAGGATGTGCCAAGTGAAACATTTGATACCTGTCCTAAACCAAATTTTTCTCAAAAGCAACCAAGAGTTACCTGATACCTCAAAACCAAGCTTAGAAGAAACACGTTGCTGTTGTTTTTGGCTTAATATTGAAATGAAATAGTTGTCTTTTAATTGTTCCATGGGTATAAAATGTGTAATATTGTACATCTGAGGTGATGGCACTATGTATTCTGATTTATTAAAGGTCACCATCAAGCTTACATTCTTACAGATAGGAAGCTGTGATTGCTGACGGCTGCTGTATTTTTCAAAGATTTTTAGAACCAATTCTGCAGTTTCAGAACAGAGAATGGCAAGTAAATTTATTATGCAAACAGGCTGAGATACCACTCCCAAGTATTTCCCATCGAACACTCCTGAAGCACAGTTTGCACTGAAACCAACAATGAACAAAATTCATGCCAAATACTATTTGCACAGTGTGATTGCTCCCGAAGTGTAACACTACACAACATCCAATAACTGCATTCCTTATTTATTTAAACTATTTTAAAAGAAATTGTGTGCCAGAAACCATATGCATCTTTTAATTTGCATATTGCAGTTTGCATTAAAATGTAATGGAATCTAAAATAGCTGACTTTCCTCTGAAACATGCTTCTAGAGCATGGAAATTGCTGTAACAAATTAGAGGACAAATTAGTTTTGGCACCCGCTAAAGAAAGAGAAAAGATGAAAAGCTTTAAAACTGATGATATGAAGGAAAAAGTTACACTACATTGGCCAAAATGAATCTCCTATCAGCTTTAAAGCTCCTGAAGTTGTATTTCCAGTAGATAAAAATGTTATCACCTTTTTCCAGTGCTGATGTGGTTATTTTCCTATTAAGTTACTTGGTAATTAGAAACAAAGTCTGACACATTGTAATCTGTTTAAACAATAGATTTGAAACTTCTCCAACAGAAATGAAATCATTCTTTAAAGATACTAAAGATGCAAAGATTAAAAAACATAAACGAATTTAAAAACTCAAATTGCATTTACAAACAAATTACTGTTCTTAAAGCCCATTTTAATTGACAAAACCAATTTAGTCTCATAATACACCACAGAAAACCAGCAGATTTTTCTACATTGACCCTAACTCTCTTTTTATGAAAATTAGTCTTAAAGCTTAGTAGGAAAAAATATTCTCTCTTTGCAATATTGTTCAAGGGTGTATTCAAGTATCACGGAATCTGGTAGAGACCTGTTCCAGTATTGTAACAACCTGGTAGTGCTAAGAGTCCTCCAGGAGTCATAAAAGAGTCCCTTGGGGACACAGGGTAATTCAAGAGAGAAAATATTTTTATTTTCTGATTGAGATACACAGGTATGTACAGTAATGTCCTCTGAAGTACATCAAAAGCAACTAAAGTATATTCAAGAAGTACTGATTTTGCACTGAAAGTAAACCCCAACAGCTCTGTAGAAAATACTACATTTAAAGAGAAGTGGCAAAGCCAGTCTCAGCAGATCTAATTTGCTTTTCTATTATCCTGTGGTTTTTCAGATGATTACAGGGCTAAAAATCTGTTTCCTTTATTACATATTCAAGGCAGTCTTAGTAGTTTTTTTATCTCTACACTCAAGTTGGGTAGGACAGAATGAAACTGATTTTAAGCAAAATTCCTCCTTTGGAGGGAAACCCGTGAATTTCTCTGCCAGAACAAACGAACATAACTTACCTTGGTGTATTTGATTTCAAGGTTGAGAGTGGGAGAAGGCAACAGATGCAGAGATGCCATCAGAGCTGCAGGATCTGCCTTCACCTCCCCTGGCATCTCAATTTTACTGGAAGTCATAGTCTTGGGGGGGGGGGTTATAATACCACCGAGCCCCCCGCTCTGACCTGATGTGGTGTTGTGTTTTGGGTTGTTCCCCCCCCCCTCCAAAGACCAGCGCTGAAGATGTTGCTCTCCTCCTCTGTATATAGGCAGGTGTCAAGCCGGGTCTCTTCTTATTGGACATGGGGGCAGAGGCAGGGGGGCAGGTCCATCCTACCTAGGGCGATAGCGGCACAGCCCCGCTCACTCGCGGCGCAGCCTCCGCCGGGCCCCCCCGGGCCCGCGCCCCGTCCCGGCCATTCCCGTCCCACAGCAGCAGGACGGAGCTCCCGGGCGCAGGTCCTGCCTCCCGCCCGAGGAGCGGCACTGGGGAACGGGACGCGGGAACAGGGGACACCGCAACCTTCGTGCTCCCCTTCGCCTCCCCCCAACCGGGTAGGGACCGGCGGGGAGGCGGCGCGGCCGGGAGAGGCCGGTGCGGGATCCGGCCCCGCCCGGGGCATCCCGCGGGGAGCACATCCCTGCTCGGCACAGCCCGGGGCATCCCGCGAGGAGCACATCCCTACTCGGCACAGCCCGGGGGGTTCCGGCCGCGGCGCGGGGAGGCCGACCTGCACTGGGGGAGCCCCGTGGGGGCCGGGGGCCGGTGACCCGCCGGGGGCAGTGGCCGTGTTCGGGCGAGCAGTGGCGGTGCTCGGGTGCGCTCCCGGCTGGGCGGGGGCGGGCCCCTCGAGGGTCCTGGACGCGGAGAGGGCAGGGGGTGGGCAGGGCGCAGCCTCCGCGGTACCGTGCCCCTGGCGCTCCCCGCTCCCGGGCGGCCACCGCAGCCGTCCGATGCTCCGCTCCGCACCTGGCGGAAGGGACCCGCCCTGCCCCGCTCGCTCCCGCCACCGGGCGCGCACTGCGCGGAGCTCCCGGTGCCCGCAGCTTTGCTGGCAGCGCTCCCGCTGCCCCCCGGGCCGCCCCGCTGTTCCCCGCGTTGCCGACACCGGCGGTCTCTCCCCTCCCGGGGCCGGACGCGGCTCGGCCCCGTGTGGGCCATCCCCGGCCGCCTGCTGCCCCCTGCCGGCCGCGCCGCATCCCGGGAGAGCCGAGCGCCTTTCCCGGTCCTCCTCGCCCATTCCGCCCTCACTACCTCCTCCTCTCGGCCGTAACCTGCGCTCCTGCCTTTCCCCCTTCCAGCACAACTGTCCTGCAGCGCCGGTGGCACTGCCCCTGCAGCCCCTCTCGAGCTGGCAGCACTGCAGCCGCTGGAGCGATGGGCAGCCTGGGTGGAAGCCCAAAGGCCTGGGACTCGCGCGCCTCTGTTTCCAAATTGCTCTCCGGAGGGAAAGTGACCAGAGGGAGCAGGTGCTCATGGCCAGGGCCAGCCCTGCCGCACAGCTGCGTCCCTCTTTTCTTGAAGGTTCTTTGCAAAAGGAAGAGGCTTAAAGGGCAGAACAATTTCTTCAAGCAACAGCCATCTGATACCAACTGTTACTTTTTGGGGTGCCCTCAGTGGGAGGCCACGTCATGGAAGAGGTTGGTCAGTGGGTTACTAGGAAGTCAGCAGCCAAATGGAGCCAGATCCATCACTCACCATCCAGGAGGCAGCGAACAGTGCCTGTGCAGTGCATATCTGGCCTGACTTGATGGATGAAATAGCAGATGGCTTGAGCTTGTAACCTTGACTGAGCTGACAGGCATCAGAAATTCATGGTCAAAGCCCTACACTCTCTCTGGTCAAACCTTCCTGGCAGAAAATATAGGAAGCCCAGGCCATTTTTGTTACTTTAGGCAAAATCAATAAAGTTGTGCTTACTGATGCAAACACTCCCAACATTTTGAACCAGATCAGATGTCATGTTTTGAAGTTATCACATTGCAGATAGATAAACAGAGAAAGGACACCAGGGCTACAGCTGCCTAAAGTTGGCAAAACAAAGCAACAAGAAAGATACCACATGACCTATTCATTGACCTAGTCAAGAATAAACAATGGGGTCTGGCCATGTTTTGATTTTGTTACAGTATCTGTTTGTTGATGCCCTTTATATTCCTTGCTCTCTCTTTGAGAAGTTTGCAGACAATTGAAAAGGTTGTCTCAATGTTCTCTTAGTGTTTGTACAGGAGCATGGCACAAAGGTTGCTTCTGCACAGACAGACAGGCAGTACAAGATACAGAGTTATTTCAGTGTTAATAGGCATATTTCTGTAAATTTCCATCTCAGTAATGAAGGAGACTGCAGATTTTGCTTTCTCTCATTTTTAGTCTTTTTTTTTTTTTCTGACCTGACAGAGGAAATGAATCCATAATCCTGTGCTGTAATGTGACATGCAGAGCTGTCAAACTGTGACACTTGGGATGAGTGAGACATTTAAACGTCAGAAATTCAATTTTTAATGGCACACTGGCAACACAGACCTAACACTTCATCACAAGGATGACACCTTCTAAAAGCCATTTTAAAATAAATCAGAGTGAGGATGTGCTCCTTTGAAAAAGGAATACATTTAAACAAGTTTCAGGAATGAGGAAACTGTATAACAGTTTCATTATTAAATCAATAAAATTGAGAAGTTTTTGGTGAGAAGAGATTCCAGTGCATGTGGAGATGCAGTTCAAACCCACCCAGTCTGGAGCTGCTAAAGTGACCTTCATCAACTACTCGTTGTGCAAACCACACTTCTCTTACCTCTGAAAGCAATTCAGTTTGCAAAAGCCCCTGGAGATGACCACCTTTAGACTGTTACCTACAGCTTGTTGGCATTCCCAGGTAGAGAATGGCACTGCACTTACTATGGCACAGACTCCTGGTCTGCAGCCACCTCCAGAGAGGTCCCCAAAAGAACATGGCAGACGTGTCCTGTCACTCCTCCTGACAGCAATTCCTCTTCCAGCACCTGGGGAGACAAGGAGGGGGCCTCAGTGCCCAGACCACGAGTGGGCTCTCACCAGGTACGGCAGTAGCTCCGCTGAACAGAACTAGGAGTGAAGCTTGTGAGGCTGTTGTGGACACACTGATGGATCCAGCATGGTGAGCTGCTCCCATGGTTCAGCACTGCACTGGCCACTGTTTATGACAGCAAATTGAGTCATGGCTTCAAATTGGGCAAGTGAATGTTTGATATTCAACATCTAATACAATGTATTGTGGAAGGGATTGCTACCCTTATTGCCTTGGACATTAGAACAATAATTCAGTAATATTGATGAATACAGAAGGAAACTAATTTGTGAAAGCAAAAAAAAGTGAGTCCAACAATAGCCAGGATGATAAAGAACAGAAACAATACTCCAGGTTCAGCCCAAGTTCTGTGGTCCCTAAATACCTCCATACAGCAGAGAAACCACTTATTGCAGTCCTGTAGTTTCTGGGCTTTTTTCTTTGCATATTTGCAGTACTAAATCAACTGGCAATTAAGTCAGACTGGCTTATTTTCTCTCACATGAATGGGTTTTAATTAAACTTCTACTTAGATAGCAAATCAGGAAACAAATACATTCTGTTTCAGATTGCAATGCCAAAGTCTTCACACTTTGTGAAGAAATGGCTGTCAAAAATATGAGGAACAACCGAATGACTGTTTCTTGCTTCAGTGTTAGAATTTAGGCTAGCCAACAACAAAATCATTCCTGAAGGGTTTTATTTTTCTATTTAGAGCAATCTGAACATATAATTCGAAGATACACCTTTGTTTCATTTAGAAGCCTCAATTTCTCCACCTGCCCCAAGCAGCTGGTATTATTTATGGACAAGGATATAGACCTGGCTTTATACAAACACTATCTAGTGGAAATAGGACCAGTGGTAGCCAGAGAGGGTGCAAAAAGCAGAGCTGCAATGTTGAACACAATACAGATGTAATTAGGGCATTTCTGGGTTTCTCAGAGTACCAGTATTTTTCTGCTCTACCCTACTGTGTCCCTTTTGTCTAAAGGAAGTCAGAAAACTAGAGTGGGTGAAACTATTTGTATCTCAAATATGTCTTTTGGACAGAGTAGCTGAGCCAAAACTTATATGGATGCACCACTGAAATGGGCAGTGGATACAGCAACTCCAACAACACTCCAGCCAAGAACCCTTCATTCTTGCTGCTTCTAATCCGTGAATATTTCTTACGCTCCCCAGTGAGCTCCAGACTCTAAGCACTGTCACACACATGAAGCAACTGAATCGCATCATTGTATCACATCCCTTCCATCTATTCGCATCACTTCCAATGATTCCTTTCAAGATCAACTGCAAAATCTACCCCAAAATTATTTCTATATGAAATAAGTTCTTTTATGTTTATTTTTCTCTCAGTTGTCCCACTACCACTTAGCAAAGATAACCCTGGTTCCTCATATAAATTCAATATTGATTAAGAGAGCCTACTCCTCTGTAACCTTTGCCTCCTGCTCCAGTAAATGTCTCTTTCTATTTCTTGTGTACTTTAGAAATCGCTTTTGGAAATAAAACAAGGATTGGAAAGAAACTTCCACTAAGTTATTTTTCAGCTCAGACTTCCACTTAGGAAATCTGAACTTCATTTTCTGACATATACAGTAAAAGCTTCAGCCTCAGGTGTCCAATTTTAATTGCCAGCTATTTTCATTACTGACCATGATGGCAGCAAATGCTCTTCAGGAGATACTTGTATTTTAATTTATCTGCAAACATAAATCACACATTACGGCACTTTTTTCCTCTAGGTTAATTGAATCAATTCTCTAAATGTCTTCATGCCTGAGCATTGAAGGAGGCTCACTGTTTGAAACCTCTTAAAGAATTATGGCCCCTGGTCTGTGTGCAGGATGGTATCAGTCCTTGTTCCAGACAAAGGTATTTTATACATATAAGGGGAAAAGATATTGTAATACACACAAGCAATATTATCTGTGAAGCAACACCCACAGTACTGTGATGATCCTGTAAAATACTATTTCAGAATTCTCCCAGGGAATTAATTTTAATATTATAAATCTTATACCTAGATTGATTGTTAAATTATTAATAATATTTTAAATTCTAAAAAAAAAAAATCTACTTTTACTTCCATTATTTCTACATTAATTTTTATGTAAAAAATCCCAAACATAAATGTTGATGTCAAGAACAACCATTTTGTTACTGAAAATCCAGAAACAGCTAATGAAGAAAACTTGATTTAACTTTTTTTTTCCCTAAAAATTAGTCAAATGGATGGCTTTTAGTAAAATGAGCCAAACAGATCAGTTTTTACATGTCATATTGGCCATTTTATACCCAGTAGAACTGTTAATTGCTGATAAATTAACAGGTGGTAAATTTACAAAATTTGCAAAA